TCAGGAACATACTTATGTGCTTAACTTTATGTTGTGGTGCTGTGAGTAGTTCCAGTGCATATGCATAACTTTATTTTTGTGAATAAAACAAATACACATGAGTATATCACTGCAGCCCAGACTATGAAACTTGTGTGCCTAAAACTACTTTTGTTTCAGGTTCAGTTAAATAAAAGTGTGTTGTGTCCAAAACATTCCCCTACAATGTTTTCAAACCAAATACTATAGCATGACTAGTATGTGAGAACCAAGAAGTGAAATCAGTGGTGACTGAGAAGAGCTACAATAGTTTTCTGACTACTCAAATTGAGGAAAGGGGAGAAAGAAGGGTAAGTAACAGAATAATTAGAAGTAAACTACACTCTTAACATAGCCAATTTTAATATTGGCAACATGAATAAGGAAATTAGACTTAAAATCTGAGATTTTAAGTTCTTGATGATGCCTTTTTAAAGAAACAAGTGTCACCAAACTAAAAGAGCAACTTGTGATTTTGCTTTAAAATAAAGTGAGGAAAACTTTTTTCTTATCATGAATTGTGACTGTTCTTAGAACAGTACAGTAATGCCTTTATCCTTTACCCCCAGTTCAGGGTCCATTACGTAACTGCTACTACAGTAATAATCACTTTGGCTTATCTGGTATAAATTATGTTGAACAAAGTTAATGCCTGTATTTAACTTTATATTCTGTCATAACCTCTATAAAATAAGGAAGAACAATAAATTAACAGAAGGTATGTAATGCTGTGGCTGCAATAAGAGAGTTGCAGCCTATTCCTTTTGTTTTAGATTGGTAGTATAAGACACTCCTGTTGCACAGCCGGGAAACTTGAAGATGGCAGCTGTACATGGAGTAAAGACTTTTTTCCAAGAAACTTCTAATTCTCATGTAGCCCAAGGGGCTACATATGACTGAAATATGGAGTGTGTGTGACCTCATTGTCACAGTGCCAGTGTAGTGTGGGCAGCATGCATCTGACCTAGGGTTGCCAAGTTTGGTTGGACATTTTTCTGGAGGTTTCATCACATGTGAGCTTCAATTCAAGATTAATCTTTAATTCCTGGAGATTCCCAGACAATCCTGGAGAGTTGGCAACCCTAATCTGAGCCCGCTATGATTGGGGTGCCTTAGTGGGCCTTATTAATAATTGGTTAACACTTCTTTTTTTTCTGAATGAACATTATTAGCCTATTGACTGTTTTTTCTGGCTGGAGGGAAACAGAGATTGGATAAACTGGTGTACTCTTCAAGGCAGGAACTATTTGCCTCTGCAGGTGTGTGCAGTACTTAGTTTACTCTTGGTGCTGCTGGAATACAAATAATAAATCATTATATAAAGAGCAAGAGGAGGAGAAAAGACAGTCTTTTCCTGTAGCAGCAGGAGGCTTATTTTAACAGATGCCATCTTACTGGGTGTATGCTCCACTGCCTTTTGTGATCTAAAATTTTCTAAAGATAGAACTGGGTATTTGATAAACAGCTTAGTTATTAAAGTTGACCTCTGTTGGAATTAGGGTGCTCTGTGATTTGGACTAGACTTGAGGGGGCTTGAAATAGCTGGAGATGGGGCAAGGGATGAACAAAAACTGGCTGATTTGCCTCCCATTCCAGTTCTTCAAAGCCAGACTTGATGCCCCTTTCTCAGCATCTCCCATAGAAGGAGACCTGACACTTTGTATTTCTATTAAGGAAGCTCTGTATTTGCCTGGATATAACTAATAAATAGGCTTGGCTGATATCAATTTTTAAAATTTACATGGATATTATCCATGTTTGTTCTTATGCATTTTTTTATTTTATCATTTATTTTGGAAATCTTTAGTTGTTCAAAATTTAGGACAATGTGGGGGTCAGACAATTATTTAATGACAGATGTTGAGATTCAAGAAATTAAAGCTTTATAATCATTAAAACCAACATTGTCAATATCACATGCCAAAATAAATATAATATCCAGAAATCAAACTCTAAATTCTCAAGCAGCATTTTTCTTACTCTGCCTATCCATAAATTTTTCTTATCAATGGAAATATATGTGTGGGTGTGGTGTGGTGAAATTGACGCTCACTGGCACAGATAAAAATCGAATCCTTCCAAATCGAATCTACTTGTAAACACTTGCTGTGATCGGAAGTCTGTTGTGCATACCATTTTGTAATTCTGGTAGATGAGGGTCTCTACCAGGATACAGAAAGGAAGGGGGCTCATCTCTGAAAGTTGAAGGTGTCTGGAAGAGAACTACAACACACTGAGAACTCTAGATCAAAACTTTGAAACTGGAGTGGTCTTGAGGATGAAAGGGACCACAAAGAGATGAGTGACTAACAGGCAACTTAATATGGGGAACACCAATTATGTTTGTATATTGATAAGGTGACTAGTGGATTATTGAATAGAATGTTAGCTGCTTTGGAATCTGGAAAAAATGAGTTCAGTGAGAGCTGTTCTAATTATATAAATTGCACAATGCAGAGATACTAGAGAAAGTTGAAAAATTAGTTGGTGGAAACAAATAGAAACTAAAAAAATTAAGAAGTTTGGTAGATACTTTAAACTATATTTATACAGATATCTATGTATATTCTGACCACAAACAATCTTAATGAATGAATCCAGGAAGATGTGGGTTTTCAAAAACAAAGATTCTCTGAAGTGTTGTGAAAGTCAAATGAACTGGAATTTGGGGTCTGTTGCATGAATGCACAAACATTGATGTCAAGGTTGTACTTCTCTTCCACCACACTGACTTTTCTTTCCCTATTTCAGGTTGCAAAAGCCTGAGTATCACTACCTTTCTATGCCATTTGTCTGACTATTCCTTTGCTCCTACTTATTAACCTGTCCCTTAGAGTTGTCTTTTACCCTGTTTCTTCTCCTTCAAAATCGGGTCCTTTTCTGTGAAGCTTGTTGGTGATAATGGGCACATGCCTCTTTGACTTTATTCAAGGCACTATACTCTTCAATATTTTGAATTGTAAGTTCTTTAGGGCTAAGATTTTGAACCCATTCTAAGTTAGAGTATTTTACTTATTGGCATGTGTTGAATTTCTTTTTACTGCTATATAAACAAAAATATGGAAGCCTGGACTCCTTAGATTAAAAGAACAGAGGGACTCAGAACTCCTTCCTAAAGTCTTGTGTAAAGGCTTTTGAAGGAAATGCACTGCTTAACTTGAGAAGGAGAGATGTCATTCAGAGATGAATAAATGAGGCAGTGCTTTGGATCTGACATAGGTTTAGGCTAGGATATGGGGTGAATCAGGATTATACTTAAAAGTCTGAAGGTGCTGAACTCTGAGCTGCCTTCACAAGGTTTGAGTCTTTTATGTACTAAAATATGGACCCCAGATGGTTTTGGCTGTGACACGAAACCAAAACTGCAGGCCTGGTTTGGATTTGGACCTTTGAGATTCTTCCCCCACACTTACTCCAAAATTTGTAGGGATTTGGATTCCAGGGTGTAGCTTTTGCTCACCTCCATCTTCGGTCTCTGCATTATTCAGTCCGATCTTTAGGAGTGCAGAGCTCTTGACTGGATTACTTGAAACTTTACAAATTTATTAATTGAAGAGGGTGGAAGAAAATCAAGTTAGGAATTAAGGAATGGACACAGGTTAAGAAAAAACAACTTGATATGAATCTTTAATAGGAATTAATATCTCTACAAATTTGTGTCCGTTAGCATAGCCAACGTTCAGTAGCCCTACTGGAGTAAAAACAACAAGGAGTCCTTGTGGCACCTTAGAGACTAACAAATTTATTTGGGCATAAGCTTTCGTGGGCTAGAACCTACTTCATCAGATCATGAAATGGACTCTAACACACGAAAGTTTATGCCCAAATAAATTTGTTAGTCTCTAAGGTGCCACAGGACTCCCCATTGTTTTTGCTGATACCTGTACACTCTGAAACCTACTGGAGTAGTTCGTTATCACTGAATTCAAATTGCTCTCTAGCCAGTAGAGGCATGTCCTTTGTTCTTTAGAGGAACTGAATCTTTCTGTTCTGCTTTATGTAAAAGTTGTATCCAGACTTGTAGACACTGCAGTGAAATTGGGAATGTTACAGTAGAAATCCATTTTTGTAAACAAGCTTACTGTTGTTAAGCCAGCCCTGAAAGTCCCGATGGTAAAGGGATTAATGTAAATGTTCTCTTCACGTAAAAAGATTATAAAGATTTGGTTATTTGGCTCACAGCTACCTTTTTAGAAATGATATATTAAATCGATGAGATTACTACTGGAAGAGTTCTAAATATAAAGGGCCATATCCTATTCACTTTATGCATGTCCTATGTAAAGCCTACAATAATTATATAAAATGAGGCAAGCAAGTTTTTTGTCACAATGTTTAAAAAATAATAATTTATAAATTAGCTTATTCCATTCAAGATGTCCAGTTTCCTGACGGTGTCTTTGAAATTCCTCTCCTCTTCCCATTTCAGAACTGTTTTTTCCCATCATGAGACTTGGTTCTGTCTTATTTTTTCCTTCTCCAAAAAAAAGTTTGAAAGGTTCTCCTTCCTTTGGCTTCAGAACTCGAATTTTTAATGAGATATTTAAACAGTTCTACACACTGTTAATTCAATGAAAGGTCAATGTCATTTAAAAAAAGAATAATGGGGCCATATTCTGCTCTCCAGTATTCTTGTTAACTAAAATTGGAGTTGAGTGGCACATCAGTTTCAAAGGCTAGTACTTGGCTCAGTACCTGGCAATGTTTTCATCAATTAAAAAAAACAAGACTTTGAACTCCTTTACCTCCCTCCAATTTCTGCGATTGTTGGCAGGTGACATTATGTATTGTTCCTAACTAAGAGGCAGCCTTTTCATTGGCTATAGCAAGGGTTGGGCAAGTGTGTGCATTGCATGGTATTTAATATTCTGCACTGACTCAAGGGAAACTTAAGTTTTGCATGTTGTTCTGAAGCTTTCTCCATGCCTGATAAAGTGAATTTTAATTTAACCATCTGTGTCTTTTTTCCCTTCCCCCAACAGCTGGCTTACCCCTGGGTGTTCTAAACTTGGCCAAAATAAAGCCGTATCAGAGAGGCTTTTTCTGTAATGATGACAGCATCAAGTATCCATTCCATGACAGTACCGTCACATCCACTGTCCTATATGCAGTGGGGTTCACCCTGCCCATTTTCTCTGTAAGTAGCTGAATTTCTAGCCATCTGTGTGCGGCGGGGGGGGAGGGGAAAAGACTTAAGAGGGTTCCAATAGGTCATCGTTGTGATACTGATTTGGATCTAGAGGGAAGATAAATATACCGGAGAAATAAAATATTTATATAGCCTTATATTTTTGTTGATTGCTGTGGTAACTAAAATAACTTCCAGATTTCACTTCAGCTTAGTGATTCCCCTACCTTTTCTTGAAGTCATCGAAACCTGTAGGTGGCCAATAACTTCTGATTGTTACTTGTCAGAAATAAACTGAAGTTTGGCTTATGTATGTTAATGTAAAGTTTTGTATTTTGCAGTGCTTCTGGAAATTCTTTGTACATCTGTTCTGAACAGACTGCAATGCCAGTTGTAAATAATTGAAATGCTATATGTCTCTTGTTAGAGAAACCTCAGTTTGTGAGGGGCTCTGCTTATATTGCATATTGTCTGCAGAGGTGAACTTTTTTTTATAGGCCAAAAGATACACGTGGTGAATTCTTGGATCCTTCAGAGTCTGAAGGCAGTGAGACTTGGATGCTTAGAAGCAGCTTGCGGGAAAGGGGCTGGGTGCTGTGATACCACACAAGTTAACAAGGAACAATTTGACTCTGAACTGGGTTTTTAACTGTATTTAATCTTGGCCCTAGCCAAGACTGTGTGCAAGACAGCTTGCCCAAAACTTGCCTAATTCAGATTAGACTTTGGCTTGGAAATGTTTGGTGCTGACCAAATCGTGTTAGAAACATCTCGGTCTCTACTAGTCTTTTAATCATGTAGCAACTTGCTAAGAGTCCAGGTGCTAAATTATTAGTCAGTGTGAAGTATCTTCTGAAGAATTTCAGGGATGGAGGTAACCATTTACTTTAAATGTCAGAAACATAAATCCATGCAACCCGTGTATGTTTTGAATGCATACCAGATACTGTTTATGCATGATCACTATTTTACCAGCACTGTATTGTGTATTGTACACAGTTAGAAAGCTTATGACTGCCTTCTGAAAATAAATAGACAAAAATGCCATAAAAATTGTTAAACAAAAGCTCTACAAATGTTTCAGGGAGGGAACTAACTAACATAAAGCTCCAAAACCAGCAAATTAATATATTGGTTTTTGTGTCTTAAAATATGAAATTTGGAATTCATAGAGTAAACTGAAATTTTCATCTCCGTAATCAAGGTGAAACTTCATACATTATATACTTTCATCATGCCTTTTTTGCAAAGAAAAGTGTAACATATTTCAGGACTCTCACAAAGATGCAGGCTTTATCAAGTCTTAAGGAAGCCTACTGCAAACTGGCCAATAAATATTAAGTTTTTCAGGCACAGATGTGAAATCATCCATTGGCATGGGCACAGGTGAACATGGTAATTACATATCTGTCTAATTTCAGACATGCAAATTTGATGTACTTGCACATTTTTCAAGTGCAATGAAGGATAGCATCAGAAAAATGTAAACTATACACAATAATATAAAACATCTTCGTATCTTTTAGACTTCAACTTAAAAAAAAACAACAACAAAAAAATAAAAGTGGTCTCTCCATCCCAAGCTTATTTAGGCATAAACTTTTTTGCCTTTCAGATAGGGAGGAGTCACGTTTGAGCCTCCTGTGACAGCTAGGTGTTATAGGACTTTCTGTAACTTTTAATTAAGGAGATTATATCTATATATCTATATATGTATATGTGTGTGTATGTATATGTGTGTGTATGTATATGTGTATATATATAAACCCACCCATGTACTGCTTTTTAGATTGAGTGCCTGAAATACCCTTAACTGCAAATATTTTATTGTTGACTTATTACAAACCTGCTTCCTGAAACCAATACTCTGATCAACCTCAGAGGACTTTGTGCAAGCTCCGTAATTCTTGGCTTTCTGTGCTCTTTTGCTTTTTCTTTACTTCAAGGGTATATGACATTGCCTTATCCAAGATCTGGAGTAGTAACATAGTAAACAGAAAGACTGACATCTTCTACACAAATAATTTAACTAGCATAGGAAATTGTGCCCCCCAAAAAAAGCACGATAGTATTGTATTTGAACAACTCAAATGAAGAGATTCTCAAGATTTTTTTTCAGTAAAAGCATGGACTTAAAGCCAGAAGTTCAGAAACTGATTGAGAGCATACACTATGTTCCTTTGTAGGATATGCAAGAGAAAACCTTTCTGAACACGCCTTACCTACTTCATATCAGATTAAGGTCACTAAATCTGTTTAGTTTTCCAACTGAGTACCTGTATTTATTTGTTTTGTGAAGTCAACCGATTGATTCTTCTGTATAATTAGTTTGGCACTTTATAGAATGACACTGACGTGGATAATTAGTCCACACACCCTGAGGTGCAACCAAGTGGCCTTAGAAAAAAGATGACAGCTTTACTATCTGAAAGTTTGGTGCTAATATATGATGATGCATTCAGATTGCAGGCAAAACTGATATATTGGCTGTCGTGTGTGTGTGTCATGCATCTAGGAATTGAGAATATAGGCTTTGCTTATAGGACGAGTACTGCTTTTTAAAGCAGAGACACGGTTGGGAGTTTCTGGTAAATAACCAACTCAACTTGAGCTCGTAGTGTGATGTGATGGCTGAGATCAAATCCGATCCTTGGATGTGTAGGTAGGGGGAATGTCGAGTAGAAGCAGGGAGGTGGTGATGCTGCTATGTATGGCAGTGTTCTTCAATTGCAAGCGTTACATTGGGCCTATTGGGCATCAGCTGTTCCCAACCTGCTCCCCTCTGGGGGCTCTGTTGTAAGAGCAGCACCACTAACTGGCTCCAGCTCTGCTGTGGGGCTCCTGACAGCTCCAACCCATGTACTGCCCTACTGGTCCTGGCTGTAGCATCCCTGTACTGACCTGCTTTTGAGATGCCCACCCCAGCCTCTGCCCAGGCCAGCACCTGTCAGCTCAGAGGATGCCCTGTAGCCGGGGAGGGAAAGGGACCAAAGTTGCTGAGATTCCAAGCTGGACAGAAGAGAGAAGGGGACAGCAGGGAGTAGGATGGAACAGCTGATGCCCAATGGGCCAAACGGAAGGCCCTCATGGGCAGCTCCAGCCCCTGTGGTCCTCTGCTAGGTGACACCTTTTCCTCCCCGGCCACAGAGTATCCTGCGGGGGAGGGAGGGCACAGGGGCAGGTCAGCTTGGGGATGCTGCAGCCAAGATCGGCAGCAACTGGAGCTGCCAGGACCCCAGCACTCAGCCAGAGCTGCTTGGCAAGGCCATCCTTGGTTGGAGCTGGAGCCAGGTATCCGGGCCAACCTTCCAGCAGGGTCCCCAGGTGCTGGGCAGGCACCTCATGGACATGAACTGGGCACAGGCAGCAGGAGGCAGGGGTGGGATGGGTTCTGAGGGGAGTCGCACCTGCTTCTTGGGGTCTTTCCCAGCTTCCCCATTCTGCCCCTCTTCCTCCTATCTTTCCTCACTCAAGAAGTACTAAGGAGGCTCCTGCCTTCTACAGCAGTCCTCCTCCCTCCTTCCACCCTCAGGACCATAAATCCTGATTACCCCAATGAGCATCAGGGAGACACTGCTCATTCGGCTGACCAGGGTTTTCGTTAGTTGAAATTTGGATAAACTGACTTTATATACATGTGGCATGATGGTGAAAGGAGGAGAAACAAACTGAAGTGCATCCCCAGCTGTGCACTTGATTGGATTAACAGTCTGTGTGCCGTTCAAAAATCAGCCAGCATGACCTCTTTGGCATGCCATAAATTCTCAATCCCTGCCAACTAGATGAAGAATTGACTTGGTTTCACTAGAGAGAACACACCTGAAGAGCCCTTTGGCCTGCCAGAATTTGGACATTGCCTTATCTGGCTTCTCAGAAAATGCTGTTTAATGCCATTGGTCTATTGCATTAGTGAGATGGCTACTGTAGCCAGTTCTGGTACTACTTCAAAAAAGGATTTTGAGAAATTAGAAAGGGTTCAAAAAAGAGTTACTAGAATGACTTGAGGTCTAGAATACCTGTCTCTCAGTGAGAGACAGATATTTGTGTTTAATCTATTAATTTGCCCAAGATAGGATGAAGCGGTAGATAAGTGATGACTTGATTACTGCCTATAAGCCTCTACATGCCTAATTTAGCAGACAAGGGCATAACATCCAATGGCTGGAACCTGAAGCTAGACAAATTTAGACTAGAAACAAGATGCAAAATTTTTAGTGAGGGTAATTTAACCACTGGAATAACTTACTAGGATATGGTGGACTGTATACAGAGTTACGTGTTGATGCAGGAATTGCTTGGTGAAGTCCCATATCAGTGTTAGTTTAATCTGACTCCCTAGAATATCATCATGGTCCCTTCTGGCCTCAAAGTAAGTATGTATGAAATTTTAGTTTGTACTGACATTGTTAGTGCTTTTTTATGTAGTCTGTTGTAAAACTAGGCAACTAGACAAGTTGATGTACCCTCTGGAAGACTTCCGCATACCTCCAGAGATGCATGTACTCCTGGCTGAGAATCACTGAGCTACAAGACCTTGAGGCTTAGGGCCATGCAAACAGGAGTAAGTCACTTCAGACAGCCAGTTCCAATAATCTGAGCAGCTCATGTCCATGAGGTGTCTGCTATCATGCATCTGAGGAGCCTTTGACACACCCATCCCTCATGTGAAGATTTATAGTTCTGCAAATGATGTCTGGGTCTATATATCTAATAAATGTCTCGATGTCTGTCAGTATTCTTGTAACTTCTAGTAATAGAACAAATACACAGTAAAACAGCATCGCTGATGGCTTTCAAAATCATTTTAAATATTGAAAGGTAACATTAATAACAGTTTCTTGTTTGTAAACAGTGGAAGTGTGAAGCATTTTTGAACAGTTAGTTCAAAAGTGACAACTCTTTATGGTGTGGTTGGTTTTTCTCTCCTTTTCATTTTTTTTCTTCGTTGGTTTTTTTTTTTTCTTTTTTCTTTTTCTCGTCTCCTTTGGATTTTGGCAGGTGGGTCTATT